CCTTCCCCCGACCGGCCGCCCGCCGCTCGCTGACTATAGCGCGGCGCGCCGCTGCAAACTCTTTCCACCAGAGACGAGCAGGAGACAAGTTGAGACACGTTTTGACGGCAGAGCTAGTTTCATCTGTTTTCTGTTGGTTTGACGGCGGATCGGTCTTGTAGTTTAGTCTTCTATCTGTTCGACATTGCGTACTGTAAATGTGCACAATTTAAATCTTGTAGTTCCCCGAAAGATATGAGAGTTCCACTCATTGAACAACCTTTCCTTCTGGATCAAAGGGGCCATAGAATTGGTCGAATTGGCAACGTGGACATACCTGAAACAAACAGACTTGCAAAAATGAAGGCACGCAAAGTAAGAGCAAATGACAAATTGACAAATCATTTAGATGAAGTTCCTCTCAGTTCTAGGCTTGCTGCACAAAACAGACCTTTAGGTGTAGCTGTGAATGACACTGAGGAAGATACTTACTTGCCTAGGGCAAAGCAGACATCTGAAACTTCACAAAACACAATGAAATTAGAAAACACAGCCTTGGTAGCACAAAGATTTGGAGTAAGCCACACAGCTACAGCAGCAATTGTTTCGTCTGCCTTTTTGGATGCCAAAAAGGCAGGACTGATAACAGGAAGCTCTGCTCGCTTGGTTACTGACAGGTCTAAAATTAAGCGGGCGAAAAAGTGTGTGGCAACTAAATTTCAAAAAGAACATGTAGAAACGTTAGAAGGACTCTATTTTGAGACAAAACTATGATACAGGTAAAAGAGGGAACAAAGTACCACCGTCGGGTTATCAAGGAGGAGCATATTTCGCTTGTAGGAGAGCCCGGATCTAAGTATGTTGGACATGTCACCCCTCGTTCCGGCACAGCTGAGGCGGAATGTCATGCCATTCTGGAGTATCTTGAAAGTAAATCCATTGATATTTCACATCTTAAAGTCGCTGGTGCTGACGGAACTAGTGTGAACACAGGACGGAAAGGCGGAGTGATTAGAAAACTAGAGGAAAACATAAAAATGCCATTACAGTGGGTAATTTGTTTGCTTCATTTCAATGAGCTTCCATTTCGTGCTCTATTCGAGCACGTTGATAGCGTTTCAGCTAGCCCTAATCTTTACACTGGACCCATTGGTTCCAAACTTCCAGACTGTGAAAAGTTGCCGGTAGCTAAATTTGTGAGTTTTCCGAAATGCAAATTGCCTGATGATGTCATTAATGTGTTAGACTTAAGTACTGATCAGTCTTACCTTTATAAAATATCTGAAGTCGTAATATCTGGCAACTGTCCTCCGGACGTAGCCCATTTAGCTCCTGGTAACCTCTGCAAGTCACGATGGCTTACCTGTGCTAATAGAATTTTAAGATAATACATCTCCACACCTAAACCTACTACAAAATTCAAATCCTTAGTAACATACATTCTTACAGTATACTCACCTTTATGGTTTACTATCAGATTTCACAATTCTATAAAAGATGGATCTAGGCATCTTTTTGATACAATTCGAAGAACAAGGTACTTACCGGCCAATCCTCGAAAGGTAGTCGACGCTTCCATCCAGCAGAATTCATACTTTGCGTTTCCAGAAAACATTTTGCTCAGTATGATGACTGATGAGGAGCCTGGAGTTCGCAAACTGTCACTTGACCGTATTTTGGAGGCCAAGGAGGCAGAACAGGAGTCTGGTGACATAGGAAAAACAGTAAGGTATAACACTGTTCCTACAGTTAATTTTAAAGCAGATACTTACCAGAATATGATTGATTGGACTAATATTACGGTAACAGTTCCACCTGTCATTCGTGATATTTCAAACGCAGAACTTATCGCTAGGTTGACAAACAACACAGTAGTAGAGTGGGAATTCGCAAAATTTCCATGTCACACTGTCGCTGTTGAGAGGACAGTGAAGCTTGTCACTGAAGCAGCCAGTCTTGTTTGTGGACCGGAGTCCCGAGATGGGCACATAAGAGCGACACTAAAATCTCGAGAACAGCTCAAAAAATTTGACACAAAATCAGATTTTCTGAAGTCATTTCAGATAAATTCCAAGTAATTTAGGCCCAGCATATGGTTGGTTGGTTGGGTTGGGCCTGGGAGGGACCCGAAGTGCAGCCACCTCCACGTTGGTGGGTCCTGGGTAGCAATAAGTAGGCTAGCTGAGAGCTGCACAGATTTTCGCCTTTCACCGCGCTGAGGCACTTTTTCGTCAATATCTCGAAAACGGCTGGTTTTATCGCAACATCACTTTTTACCTTTTCGATAGATAACACAATTGTACACATTTTCTCTTTTATACTTTTTGTCATCAGAGTCACGGTTCAGGCGCCAAGTGTGTATTTACACGTTTTTAGGCAATTTGGTGAAATTTCGACCTCAAACCCCGAACTGAAGATTAAGTCCGATTTCAAAATAAAAAATTGATCTAGTTTTCCGAAGTACCAGAGCACAGTGTTATGGAGCTGAACAAGATACTAGCTTTAATCACAGACCTTGAGCAGATGGAGAAAATAGTTTTAAAGAAAAGGTATGACAGAACCCTATCGGAACCATTCAACAGAATCCAAAGAATGATGGGAGCATACTGCTTCATCAAAGCTAATCGAACTGGAGTTGCTTCCAACATTGAAATGGATGTTGTTGGCAGGGCGATTGATGAGGCCGAAAAATATAAATTATTTGTTTTGTCCATTTACGTAGAAGAGCACAAGACTTCTGCCAAGTGCGGGGCGGCAACGTTCAAGACGGAGCCAGCCTACTATGATCTTTGGGTGAGGTGGTTTAAGGTAAGTGCACCCCTGAAACCCGTCCAGTTTCTACCACACGGGCCGCGCGCGGGGGGCCAGACAGTGCTCTGCAAAACGGCCTTCACCGACCGACCGTGCCTGACCGTACGCGGTCGCTGAGCAGTGGACGCCGACCGCCTGCCTCGGTCGGTCTCGGTCTCCACCGACCGGCCGCGTCCCGGTCGGTGCCGACCGCGCTGCGGCCAGCAGAGAAGACGAGCTCTGCGCCGGCCGAACCGATGCCTGCTGACCGAGCCCCGCCCGGCCCGAGCCCGCTCGAACCCGAACCCCGTCGACTAGCGTAGCGAAGAGCGCGAGGCGTAGCGGGGCAGGCGGCAGCGGGAAATTTAAATGTGCCGGCGCCGGCCACCGAACCAGCGCCATTGACGTAGGCCGCACTGCAAGCGGGGGCGGGGCACGGGCGCGCGCACTGCGGGCGTTACGCGGGGCGCAGTGTAGGACGCGAAATAAGGCGTATAGGGTGATTCGGTTGGTAATAGTTTGTTGTTGATTTCGTGAGGCAGAACGCGAAGCGAAGCGTTCGTTAGTGGTTTGCGTTAGCGTTGACAAAGGGAACAGTAAAACATTAAAAAGACATTTTCTAGCATGACTTATTTGTAATTTGTTTTTCATGACTATGCCA